TCCCAGGCCTTCAAGGGGCTGAACAAGCTCGTCTACCTCTACCTGTCCAACAATGACATCGGCACCATCAAGCCCGGCGCCTTTGAGGATCTCACCGAGCTCACCTACCTCCACCTAGACGGGAACCAGATCAGCGACCTGCCAAAGGGCATCTTCTCCCCAATGATCAACCTCTTTGTTCTGCAGCTCAGCGACAACAAGCTGCGGGAGCTGCGTCAGGGGACCTTCTCGGGCGCCAAAGACCTGCGCTGGCTGCACATTAGCAACAACGAGCTGACGACGCTGCATGCGAGCTCTCTGGACGACGTAGAGAACCTCGCCATACTTCACCTGGATGGCAACAAGATGTCCACTTATCCCAGCGTGGCAATGAGCAAACTGCGGGTGGTGGAGGAGCTCACGCTGGGGAAGAACCCCATGAAGACTATCCCTGACAACGCCTTCCAGAGCTTTGGGCGCTACATGGAGAAACTACACCTGGACAACATGGGTCTGGAGAAGGTCAGTCTGTGGTTTTACTGGGCTTATTACTGGCAAAGCATCAAGCCTGGCAAACGCCACTGCTAGAAGTTTTGGCTTGAAATTTAAGCAACCTGTTGAAATTAGGTCTTTTTCAAACTGCTTGTAGACTCTTAAATATCTTCAGGTTATTTAGAAGAAACGTACAAGACAGCCTTTGTAAAGGTCTTTTGAATTAATTGGCTCAGCTTTAAGAAAACATTGTGCCGAATTAAAACAGTTATGTCATAATAAGGTCTCTGCATGTCTGACTTAATATTTGCTTCCCTAAAAAAGTACAAATTTATACGAGTGCAGTTTCCAAACCATCCTCCTTGTAACAGGTAAGAACAAAAGTGCCCCCACAATAGTCTTCTCTCATTAATCCCATGATTACAGCTTACATAAAGAGTGAGATTAAAGCCAGTCTTGTGTTCTTGGGCGTTCCCACTTCCTCCACATGTGTCTCAGTTCACGCTTATAATGCAAAGCTGCTGCTGCAGTTTTCCATCTCTCAAAAACAGATGTTTGATGCTCAAGGGTACATATGTGCTTAAACAAACGGGATCTTTCTCCAGATGCAGATCAGAGCAGGAGTTTAGCAAAAAGCTGTGAAGCTCTAAGAGTTGATCTACTGAGAAGCTTGTGCGTATTAAACCTAACTGTACTACATTTCAATTTGTGGGGTCTTAAAACATTCTACAAGTATGTGCTTGAGCTTTAGTTTTAGTTTGATGTGAATTAGCAAATGCAGACAGATGCATAAGTGAACTTATTATACAGCTGCACAGGTGTCAGGGTAAACGTACGAGATTTGATTTGTGGCGATCAAAACTGTGATTCAACAGGTCTTTTCAAAGACAAGGAGCACAACAGTTTGCATAATCAGGGGATTTTGAGATGCTTAGTTTAATCTGAGGAGTCACAAGTCAGAAGTTTGTGACATGCAGGCGTGTGAAGAATGATTTTTCTGGGGTGTGCATTAAAGCTTCACCCAGGCCCTTAGTTTTTATTTATTTATTTCTTCACGCTGTAACCAGGTACTGAGAAACTGTTTTGGATAAATAATTCAGGGTCATCCATTAAGCACAAACTCAGTATTTTGGCACCTGGCATCCAATTACAGATTTAATTAAAGGGTGGAACAAGCCAATCCTGTCAGTCAGCGAAGAGTAAGACTTGAACCTCTTTGTAGCTTTTAAGGGGAAATGAGAGTTAAATGCATTTACTGGTTATTCCAGCTGGACTTTACATTTATGGTCTCAACAGTGCCTTTAAAAACACGCTCCAATCAGCCTCTTCAATGACAGCGGGTCAAAAGTACAACTCAAACATGTCAGAGGAAGTGACTCCAACTGTGGATCCTCCCTTGTGCCATGGAGTGCAGTTTTACTCATCACTGCTGTATTTAAATTGGAACGTG